TCCCCCTACCCATTCAAGAGTCCCGGGGGACCTTTTTACCGGCGGGTCTTCTAGCCGGAACTATACGGTATGTGAGTGTGCGACTCTGCCTTTCAGCATCTGAGCAGATATCATAACGAGGACAGGCACAAGGGGGCCTTGCTGAATGCAAAAAGTGGAGAGCACCAATTTCTCTGAAGCAACAATGCAGCATTCCCGGAGAGCAATCCAGCATCTACTCTACATGATACGGTACGGTACCTACACATGCCCACATCCACCCACATGCATCTCCACCTTGCAATCATCACACCACTACACAAAACCCTAACAATGCTCTTGCACCCAAATGCTTCTTATTTCCCCGTTTTCACAACCTTTCCACAGAGCGCAAGCTTGTTACCTGCGCGTCCCACAACCACATGTGACACTGTTGCTATCGTACCAATAGCGGCCACAGGGTCAGAGGACTGAGAAAGCACCTGCACACCATAAAACCGGAAGCTGTATCGCTTACGGTGAGCATTGGGTCTTGTGATGTTTATGAGAGTTGGCGTATCATCGGGAACAGCCGTAGAGCAGGAACTTCCGTAAGCAATGGTGGGTTGATCTCCTCCCTTGAGGTTCATAAAAAGTAGCTTATAGACCAAGATGTACGATGTTGGAGAGTCTGAGTACCTGTCATTGGGGCAAGGGAGGGATATTTTTCAAAGAGTACTGCTGCCAGTGCACTGGCATAAACGCTCCCTCTGAAAGTGCTGCATTTGGTTCATAGCAGACAGTTGCAAGAGCACACAGTGGTTGGTTGTGCGGGCGTCTAAATGACTGAGGATGGGCCTTACTCGCACGACTCGCAGGAGTCACTGTGACTCCACCACAGGACTCGTGTGTCAGCGCCGCCATTGGAACGGGGGTACAAGGGGAGAAGTCAACGCGAGGGGAAGTCAACGAGGGGGAAAGTCAACGAGGGGAGGAGTCAACGAGGGGAGAAGTCAACGAGGGGAGAAGTCAACGAGGAGGAGGAAAGTCAACGAGGGGAGAAGTCAACGAGGAGGAGGAAAGTCAACGAGGGGAGAAGTCAACGAGGAGGAGGAAAGTCAACGGGGGGAGAAGTGAACGAGGAGGGAAGTCAACGAGGGGAGAAGTCAAGGGGGGAGAAGCGAACGAACGAAGAAGTGAACAAGGGGAGAAGTGAAAGAGGGGGAAGAGGACATACCTCACTACCTTGGAAATAAGTTTCCCCGAAGCTCCTTTGTCACCGACTAATTTCCCCTTGAGCCTTGTAGGACGCAGAGTGACCGCGCATTTTGCTAGAAACGAGAATGGGAGGGATGGGATGGGATGGGGAAGACGAACAAGTTGGTAGCTGGCTACCTCATTGCCTTGGTCATAAGTTTCCCCGAATCTCCTGCTGAGAACGAACCCCTTGAGCTGGCATCAAAATCACAAACGGGAATGCCAAGGATGGGAATGTCAGGGAAGTGAATGGTGTAGCACACGCACGCACGCATCAGATGCAGCAAACACATGAGCTGACGTCATCAGAAGAGGGAATGCAAGGATCGGAAAAGAGAGCAAGTGAATCATGCAGCACACACTGAGCTGCATGATCATAAGGCATAAGGCGGCGGCTTCTAAGAAAGTAAAGTACCTGCAAGGGATTCTATGCGCTCGGCGATCATACAGCCAGCGCTGGGCCGCGCCGCCTGTTTAAGAAGCGGCCGCAGCTGGAAAACTGCCGGCCGTGAGGAAGGTCGTTTACACATCTGACGGTTAAGACTCTTACCGATGGTCTTCCCGTTATAGACCAGAGGCTTGGCCTGGGCGGCAGAAGCGGCAGAAGCGGTAGAAGCTGCGGAAGAGCCGCCATCGTGAGAGAGGAGCGGCGGGAGCAATGATGTGGCCGCCGCGGCGTAGGCAGTGAAGACCGCCGCACCTGCAGGCAGGCAGGCAGGCAGGCAGGCAGGCAGACAGGCAAGCAGAGAGCACTATTTGAGACGAGGGCGCGAATGTTATGTAACACCCAGAAACATTTTCAACGACCAATATTGTAAACAGCAGCAGCGTCAGTGACAGCTTGAATGCGAAATCGACTCGGAGCCCAGCAGCAGCAGCGGCAGCAGCGGCAGCAGCAGTAGCCCAGTTGAAAGGCTTACATAGCAGCAGGAGGCAGAGGAGAGATGATAACGCGCGACGCTCCATGATGATGCTGATGCTCAAATGCTCGCTTTTTACCACCGTAGGTTTACTGCAAATCGAAAATTGTGTCACTGGCTCATTGGCCGGACCTCCAGAGAAAACTACTACCTCTTGAAACACCTTCAGGTTTCAGGTATTAAATTAGTTGAGGAAACCGCCTCATGACATCCCCAAGGTCGTACCGTCCAACGCCTTGAAACCTGGCATCAGCGAGGCACCATGGGGAGGGGAGGAAAAGGGAGCTTTCGCTCGAAGATCAACGCGGTAGAACTCTGAGGGGTCTACGAGCGGTTTGATTGAATGGCCTACGATTGCCCGACGTGCACCGAACTGATGCGTTGCCGCGCATCGTGACACATAGGCCGCTGATCGGCCTACGTGTCCACTCGGACACGGCGTGACACCTTACAACGTCGGTGCCCGAAGCGGTTCAGAATGCGGACTAATAGATAGCGCCGTGTGCGAGACATATCCGACATATCGTTGCTTTGCATGGCACCTGAGGCTAGCTTGCCAGGGGACGCCAAACAAGACGTGCCATGGCCAGGCAAAACGCAAGATGACGGGCTAACAGCAGCAAGACGACGGCTAAGGGCGGCGAGCATCATGCTAGCAGCGGCGCGTTGAAACGGGTACCGCCACAGCAACCCTAATTCTGGAATCGCGGATCTGTTGGCAGGGTGGTGGCCGGGGGGTGCCTTCAGCGACCTTTATGGCACCCCTTGTGAGATGAACCAACAGTGGAGGCGATATTGCGCTCATCGACCCGATTATTTCCTACGCTCATGTGGAGTTCAGTGTATAACTCGCTAACGAATGCAAGAACCAGAAGTGCAGGCAGAATCATTACACTGACAGATCAACGATATTTTATTATTAAAAAACAGAGCCGAAAGTGTAACCATTCAAAACCACCCTGATAATCAGTGTACAAGGGCCATTTACACTGATAATTAGGCCTTGTGACCTATACTTTAGGGGGATACCAGTTGAGGTGCTCTTCTTCACTGTATGGATGTGTTTCTGTATAGCAGGCACCAACCTATTCTCCACTCTACCAAAAGAGAAGTGCAGCATTGGCATGGCATGTTACCAATAGACGCCTGGACTAGATAACATCCACCATTGACGTGCCGTGTTATCTACAGCAGATGGAAATTTGCTCTTCATTAGTCACACATACAACTGCATGAATCCCAAAAACACTTCTTATTTCACCTTATACACCTTCCCACATAGCACCAACTCGTTCCCTGCGCGTCCTACAGCCAGGTATGATGACGTCAATTGGGCAATAGCCGCACGCATGCTCGCTTCTGACGTCACCGCCTGGTCAATATGCGCTCGGAAGCTGTACCGCTTGCGGTGAGAGTTGGGTCGCGTGATGTTGATAAAGGTGAAGGTTGATGAGGAGGCTCCTTCCGAGCAGGAAACTACAGAGTCGTAGGTGGGTTGCTCTCCTGCCTTGAGGTTCAACACAAGAAACTTAATGATCAACTCGTATGACGATGGAGAGAACCTGTCAACAGGGCAAGCAGAGATACCGGTTATGATTAGTGGAGACAGCACTGCCAGTGTACTGGTAGAGCCAGTGCAAACACCTGAAGCGACCAGGACGAGCGAACAGTGGTTGACTGGAGGTTGTGCGGACGTCTCCAAAACATGGGCCCCAGACTCGAAAAACTTGCAAAGGACCATGTGACTTTACAGGTTGCGTGTCAGCTCAGCGCCGACAGTGGAACAAGTGCCCCTCTCACGATTCTTAAAAGGGAATGTGACTCTGCAGGACTAGCTCAGGTCGCAAAGGTGTTTTTTAAATACTCAAAAGCTCCCCTCTCAAGTCAGCGTGACTCTGCAGGACTCGTGTCAGAGCCAATGGAACAAGTAGGGGACAAGTGAACGAGGAAACAGGGCCTTACTTTATTGCCTTGATCGAAACTGTCCCCGAAGCTCCTGCGTCACCGACTAACTTCCCGTTGAGCTTGGTAGGACGCAGTTTCGCCCTGTATCTCCCTATAAACGGGAGAGAGGGAACGGGATGGAGGGGAAATGAATAGCCGCACACAATTAAACTCCAGCACACAAATTACCTGCAGCACACTAACTGCAGCACACACTTTAACCGCAGCACACACTTTAACTGCAGCGGACACTTTAACTGCAGCGCACACTTTAACTGCAGCACACACTTTAACTGCAGCACACACTTTAACTGCAGCACACACTTTAACTGCAGCACACAAATGAGCTGCAGCAAATATGACGAAGAAAGAATGAAACAATCTCTTGATATCATTACGACCTGCGAATTCTCTACACGCACAAACGATCATACACCCAACGGCGGGCTGCCCGTTAAGAAGCGATCACTGCTGAAAAACCGCTGTCCGTAAGAAAATTCGTTACTTCTGATTTTGGCAACGCTTAAGTTAATCCTAAGGCACTTACCGTATCTCTTTCCCTTATAAATCAGAGGCTTGGCCTGAGCGGTAGAAGCAGCAGGAGCGGCAGGAGCGGCAGAAGAGCCGCCTTGGTGAGAGAGGAGCGCGTCGAGAAATGATGAGGTCGACGCTCCGTAGGCAGAGCAGACCGTCGCACCTGCAGGCAGGGGGGGAGACAGAGAGCAGCACGATGTGAGGCGGGACGTGGGGAAGGAATGCTCATTATTGACCCGTTGAGGGTTGACGGATCAGCGGCCTCTGCTCTGTTATCCGACGAATGCTCGTCGGAAACTGTACGCAGCAGCGTAAGTGACAGTCTCACTCAGGTGACTTTTGAGTCTTTAGGTGACTCGACTCAAAAAGCGCAGCAGCTGGCCTTACAGAGCAGCAGGAGGCAGAGGAGAGTCAACGCGCGGCGCTCCATGATGCCGCCTGGTCTCGAATGCTCGTCCGCTAGGGTTTCGCCGGAATCACTAAAAACGTGTCACTGGCACAGCTGCGGACTCGGTAAGCGTGCTTCTTGGAACACCTTCTGATTGAAACAGCGTGGTACTACTACTTATAGTACCACTAGGATCGTTGGATGAAGTCGGTGGTAGCATTTTGAGGTGTCTTTTTTTTTTAGAGGACGATCGAAGCGGCCTATAATCGGTCTACGTGCACGAACTGACACGTAGGCAGATTGTAAGGCGGTTTAAACCACTCGACGAGTGATACATAACAACCATAGCCGAATTTTAGGCAACGCAACCAGTCAGCGAGTGACACCTAAACAATCGGACGCCACTGAAGATAAGGCGGTTAGGATCCACACGTGGGCGCCTTTGAGCAGGATGCATCGCGTGCACGAGTTGACTTCCGAGTCGCTCGAGAGTCAACTCATGCAACCATGATCTATCGCGTAGTCAGATGCTGAACAGTAGTACGGCAGTGCGGAAACCTAGTTTTAGCCAACGCACGACGACGTTCCTCCGCAAACCGACAGTACCAGTACGACGGCGACTTTCGACAGCGCGCATCTCAAATCGCTAGGTAGGTACAAGTCGTCATCGTGGACGAACCACATCACAAGCGCCGCTAATACGGGCGGGCACTAATAAGGCTGCGCTGCTTCGAGGAATTTAAAGCCAGGATCTCAAGTAAGAGAATTGGCCTTCAATTGCAAAACACTTGCAGCGCTTGTTACCCTATTTTTGTAGGCGAATTGACTGGCTGGTTAGGAAAGTGAGCGTGCGGCACACCCACGATTTTGCCCCTAGAGCAAATGCAAAACATTTTGCTGGTACATGAGATTGTTGTGTGTGACGAGAAATTGCAGGCATTGGAGCTTCGTCACCGAACCAGTTTCCGAGCCTTGCTTGGTTCGGACTGAACTTGCGATTTGTCTTTACTTCGCACCCCTCGCTTCACACCTCGTCAGATTGTTCACCTCGCTAACCAATCGCAGCCCAGCTCCCCTCACCAACTGCAAAACAATGCTCCTGAGATCCTGGCCTTAAAACCGGGGTGCACATTCAGCTGAATGTGCATCAAAGGTTATCCCTTGACTGAGTGGGTTACGAGGTGTGCTTTCAACCCCTTCAAGTCGAAATTCTTTTCCCCCCTCCCCCGCAATTTCGTTTCCCCACGCCCCCGCAATTTCATTTCCCCCTCCCCGTCGAAATTCGTTTCCCCCCTCCCCCGCAATTTTGTTTCCCCCCTCCCCCGCAATTTCGATTCCCCCCCCTCCCGCCAATCTGTTTCATCCCTCCCGCCATTCGGTTTCACCCACTCCCGCCATTTCACCCCCTCCCGCCACCTACGAAATGCCCGAAGCTCTAGCGGAATCATTTTTTTGTCGCCCCTCGTGAGCCAATCACTGTTTTTCTCCAAACCCCCTTCCCAACATCTCAAGCCGAACCGCGTTGAATGTGCACCCTGGTTTTAACTTCGCATAGCTGCTTCGACGAATTGAAAAAGGCCGCGTTACTTCGACGACTTGAGTTGGGGAATGGGGATGACGTCAAAATTGAAATCCCGTACACGTTTGTAATGTATTCATTCGCAGTGAAGTTTTTATTGGAGTTTGCATATGTGATGAAGCCAAACCTACATAAGGGAGTAATTATACAGTTGTAGTCCAAACAAATTACTTGAGTTATTACTAATTTGAAGTTTTCTGATGCAGAATACAGATGTTTCAAGCAGTGAACATGTTCTTGGTTGATAGATGAAAGAGAACAGTCCTGTAACTGTCAAATTGCAATTGTATCTCTAGGCTACAGTAGGGTCACTCCTTAGTGAGTAAAACACTTTAGGGTTAGCTTTCCCCTACTTGTACTCACCTCTTGCCTAGTTCAATCATTCACTCCTAGTTCTACTCTTGACATGTTATCTGAGTAGGAACCGTTCCTACATGGGCCCACCGTTCCGCCTAGTGGTAGCGCCACGCCCTACACAGTAGCCAGCGCGCTGGCGCCCCTAGCTGTCACTGTCGCGACCCTTGCAGCCCGTGTGCTGCCCCTGCGACCGCGCTGCCCCTGCAGCCGTGCTCGCACCTACGACCGTGCTGCCCCTGCAGCCGTGCTTGCCCCTGCTACCGTGCTGCCCCTGCAGCCGCGCCTGCCCCTGTGGCCCGCGCGCTGCCCCTGCAGCCCGTACGTCGCTCCTGTAGCCCGTACGTCGACCCTGCAGCCCGTTCACGCTGCCCCTGCAGCCGCGCGCCGCCTCTGCAGCCCGTCCGCGCGGCCCCTGCAGCCCGTGCGTCGCCCCTGGAGCCCGCGCGCCGCCTCTGCAGCCCGTCCGCGCGCCGCCTCTGCAGCCCGTCCGCGCGGCCCCTGCAGCCCGCGCGTCGCCCCTGGAGCCCGCGCGCCGCCTCTGCGGCCCGTCCGCTCCGTTCCCCAATGTTCATTCATCCTTGCACAATGAGCAGCAGGGGACCAGCCCCGGGTTCCTCGCTCACACGGCAGTTGGGATGGTGTCTCGATACTTGCGGACGACGCGGCATTGCTAATTGCTGCGCCGAATTCGGCATTGCTATTCGCGGAGGGTAGAAACCTCACGAGATCTTTCAAACGCGAACGCCACGGCGTTGCTATTGCGGCATATAGGAATCCGGCAGATTGCTCCATCGCTGCACGATGATCAGAAAGGAACCACAAGGAGCTCCTCTTCCCTTTTCGTGGAATTTGCGGAATCGTTAATCCCAAGGTTGGCCGATCATCCGATGCGCGGCGCGGTGACGGGCTGTTTTTGCGTCACGGCCCGTGCGAACGGCAGCGATTCCCTAGCCGCGGACGAAGCAACATCGTTAGCTTGTATCAAGAATTCTCAAAAGCTGCACCTGGAAAGCCCGACGGGTCGCTCCACCGCTTGATCGCTGCATGATGGCTGGCGGGACGACCCCGGGCTCCTCACACAAACGGCGCGCTACTGCGGAGGCGACGAGTCGCTACCCGTGGACGAGTGCCTCTTATGCATGATGGCGGTCGCCCCACTTAACATGCTCCTCTTAAAACTGCACGGGTTGTACCATCCGAATTTCCGGAAATTCGAATGCTCAGGTGCGTTCCTGAAGGGAATGGTGAAAGTCTTTGATCCGTTGCCCACCCAGTCCAGGGACGGAGAGTGGAGTCTGGCCTGGGTTCACACAGGAACGAACAACGTGGCTTCTGAGGCGTCTCAAAGTCGTCTCGTGTGTCTCTCGGTTCAAGTGACTCGCCTCGCTTCATGTCGCTTTGTCGCATTGTCGGTTTGCTAGTTTGTCCGTTTGTCAGTTTGCTCGTTTGTCAGTTTGTCAGTGTGCTCGTTTGTCAGTTTGCCAGTGTGCTCGTTTGTCGGTTTGTCTGTTTGTCAGTTTGCTGGTTTGTCGGTTTGCCTAAAACTGATCCGTTCCCCAACTAGGTACAGGGTGAGAGAGTGGAGTTCGGGTTCACACGGGGAGAGCAGAGCAGGTGATGCTGTTGTCAACGGTAAACAAATGAGCCTGGCCGGATAGATTCTAGGTGCCTGACAATACCGATGGGCCATTTAGTGTCAGTCATTCACTATTCCAGTCAACGAGGAGTTATTACGACCCTTCCCTTCAAGCCAGTCTAGCAGCCAGATTGAGGGAGTGAGGTGAGGTGCGGTGAAGTGACGCTCGGCTATGTAAGATCGCCGAATGGAAAGCTCAGCCATTGGGTTGGGATAACAGAGGCGAGGAGATGCCGTGACGTGATGGGTTTGGTTGGTGGTGTTGCTGGTGACGCGTCGTAGCAGAGCGGTGTAGTGCGGTACGAATGGATGGCAGCCTACTGGTTGGTATGGGGTGACTTTTGAGCCAACTCAAAAGTCACATCGGAGTGGTGCGGTACGGTACCATGAGATGTCGGCCTACTGCTTGGTTCATTGTGCACGCAGTGAACAATTCAGGCGGCTTGGAATCACTTCGTGCTTCTAATCCATCAGAGGTGATGGGCCAAGAAGGGACGGTAAGTCGATGATGCAGCGGCACATAACACCGCTGATTTGTCAATGATGCAGCGTCGTTGTAGTCGGTGATTTGCCGCTGATCACCAACACGACGGTAAGTCGATGATGCAGCGGCACATAACACCATGTGATTTGCCGCTGATCACCAACACGACAGTAAGTCGATGATGCTTTGATCACTCGTGAGATTTCTCCAAAGCAATGCAAGGAAGCTAATGAGTCGACTCAAAACGAGGTGACTTTAGAGTCGACTTGTAACAAGGTAACACTAGCAGCTCAGCGCGTTTCACATCACATCACACGACCTTCTACCAACGGCCGACAGCAACTCTTAACGCGGTTTTTCTTTAAGTCACGTTCCTCTATTCTCCCTTCCCCTTCCACGCACCTCTCCTGCCTCCAGCAGATAGTATCGAGGCTGCTTATAGAGGGTACCGTTCGCTTATACTAAAGAACAGTGGGCAAGTATAGTCGAAAGTAGGAGGGGGAAGGATGCAGGTTGGGAAGGGGGGGTAGATTGGGAGTGGGGGGGAGACTGGGAGTTGGGGGGAGATTGGGAGTGGGGGGGAGATTGGGAGTGTGGGGGAGACTGGGAGTGGGGGGGAGACTGTAAGTGGGGGGGAGACTGGGAGTGGGGGGAGACTGGGAGTGGGGGGCAGATTGGGAGTGGAGGGGAGACTGGGCTGGAAGTGGGGAGAGACTGAGAGGGGGGAAGAATGTGATGCTATGGGTGGGAGGAGAAGGCGCACTCAGGTGAGGGCGCACTTAGGTGAGGGCGCACTCAGGTGAGGGCGGGCACAGCAGGTACAAAGGAACCACCAGTAGTACTCTCAGAGGTGATACCAAGCCAAGGGCCAGCACAGCCAGTGGCTCGAGCTGTGAGGCTGCACAGACGGACCTCGGGTGGACATGGCTGGCCGCATGTGGCTCGGGAACAAGGTGGTTTGGTACCAAACCGGAATCGGGTGCGGC